AACAAGAGCCATAGATTAGTGCTTAGTATACAGCAGATACTTAACGTACCATGAATATATGTAAAATCTGGGGCTGGAGCTTAGTAGGCCTGTGGTAAAAAAGCACATGGCTTGCACATGTGAAGCCCTACATCAATTGCCAGGATCACCAAAGCAAACAAACACAGTCTTTTACTCAGAATAAACTAAAAACTTTAAGCTCATAGTGATAAAAATAGGTTAAATATCGTGGGAACCAAACGATGACAAATACAGAGACACTGTGAGGAAAAAAATAAGTTGTATATATTTTTCTTGTATTAGTGCCTACTGTACCTCTTTTATCTCTTGTGCTGTCCTGGCATGAAGTTAGGAAATATAAGGTTGGGTGCATAATAAAAAGAAAATTTAAAAGCTTTGAATCTAAATTGCTTTATTGAAAGATCACCTGCAACTTAAACTGATTCAAAATGATGTCTTGTACAAAATGAACATTTCACTTTATGACAATTACAAAATAAACCAAAGAAGATAATATAAAATAAATTATTTTCTATTATATGAATCAAAAAGACATAAATAATACATCCATAAATCTAGAAGGCTTATGAATCATGCTATTCCCACACAGAATCAGAGTAAAATTATAACATTTATAAGTTACATGATAATTAATGATGTGAGAAAACATAGAAAATATTCTATAATTAAAGAATAATTATTCATATTTCAGCTTTCCTCCCGTCACAATGTATTTTCTACTAGCTTGAGGTAAATTAAAAATAATGAGAATTGACTCTTAATATTTTTGTTTCATCTTTAATTTTATGATTGCCAACTCTGAATTAGTAACTCTGCATTCTGATGTTAGCAAGTTTTATTGCAAACTCTACCAATGTTTCCTTAATGGTCACTATCATTTGTCTTGTAATTGTCACGAAGTGAAAGGTTCATTACCTTTCTATTAATTATCTTATTTTCTACCCTTTGACTCTCAATGATTTGCTATTTTATGATAGTCTACAACAAACTTTTTATTTTGTCCACGTAGTTCTATCTGTCATCCTGGCTTGGCTCAATTATTCTCTAAGATGCTGTATTTTGTACCTCTAAATTTAGTGAACCTAAAATTTTTCTAGAACAAATTTAATTGCCAACTTTTTTCTACATAGTACTGACTTGCTAATTACTCTTTCTTGTTTCTGCTTTGTAATACAAGAAAGTAAGTGAAAATAGGATTTATTCTTTCATACACTTCATTATCTCAAGTGCCTAGATATTATCTCAAGTCTGGCAAATAGAAAGTATACAAAGAATCCGTTGAAGCAATAGACAAGTCTTTACTAAAACAAAATAAGAAGACAGTGAATATAATCAGATTTTTTTCCTAATGATGAGTTAAACATTTACCATGCTGAAGTATGAGTTGATTCTCCATCTTAATTTAGTGGCATTTTGACAAGGCCCTGTGAGTTAGGAAAGTTATGGTGATACCTTGAATCAGTCAAAGATAATGTTTAACACTTGTGCTGATAGAGTTTCAGTTATCGGGTGCTATTTTTCTCATGTGAAGCTGTGCTTATTACACTCCATTGAAAACTTAGCTAAACATATTTTCTTGGTATGCTAATGCTTTTTGCAAACCTTTTCTTGATTCTGCCATGTAATTTAAAAAGATTCAATTAAGGAAAGAAGATTTAACTAGCTTTGAATGAAATTTCTAGCAACAACAGATTTTATATTTCAAAGCAGACAGTTGTTTTATTATTAGCTACATTGGTTTACATTGGAAACAGAATGTTTGCCTCCATACATTCATGTCTCTGACTGTCTCTCAAGCAAATGGAGAATGACTGGAGGTGGGGAGAGATTATGAATGAGACTTAACACCTGCATTAGAAATAAATGTTTGAATCACTAAATATTCAATAAGGTAGTGTTGGGATTCCTTCCCTGAAAACATAGTGGCTCCTGTGTCTAGGTGCTGTTACTAGGTAATTTTAATATTTAGGCATCTGTACTGGCCTGCATTTAGAGTTCTGACAGGATACAGCCTCAGCTGCTGCCACTAAGAACACCACCTGTACCTATTCACTGTGTTCTCTTTCAAAAGGGCCCTTCCCACCTCCCATCTCTCTCTTTTTTTTCTCTCTCTCTCTGTCTGTCTGTTCTCCCCACCTCTGTCTGCCTCTCTTTCCCACTGTTCCTGTCCCCAGAGGCAGGTCTCCACAGCCCCCCCCGCCTCTTTCCCGCTTTTATGATCTTTTTCCTTAATAAAAAAAAATCTGCACTTGAACTCTGTCTCACGGCAACTTTTTCTCTCATGCCATTTTTTGTTTGTTTTTCTGTTTTTATTTTGTTTTTATTGCAACAAGTAGTTTAACATCTCTGAGCATTAGTTTACTTATCTCCAAAATGGAATAATAATATATACTGGGGCTGGAAAGAATGGGAAGATATCACAGGATCAACCTTTGACCACACAAGCTACTTGATAAATTACTTATTAAATTAATCATATTGAAAATTCAGTTGCCAGTGAATTAAACTACTATTTATCTTCTAGAGAAACAATAGAGTGACTGGGTACCCAAAGGCTATGTCTAAAATGTAATTGCATATTTCTCAACAACTCTGATAGAAACAGAAAAGGGACAGCATATGAATAGGTCAAGCACAGTGACTTTGACAAAACAAAGTTTGCAATTGTGGTGACCAGACTATTGTGAGTGAGATCTGAGCATAGGTACATATACATGCACAAGAAGGAAATTCAGGACATTTTCTTATGTCTCCCCATGTTTCTGAAAGATGATATAAATTCTAGCTCACAAGATAATTTAATGAAGACAACTGATTATGCATGCTGACATATTAATCATTTTCTACAAGTGTTTAAACATAAGCAAAGGATACCAAAATTACCAATACTAGAAATAATAACTGAAGGATACCTGATGAATGATACTTCCTCTTTTAGCTCTTGAATAAAAAAGGAGACAACATAAAAAGAAAAAGGGTAGAGCAAATTTTCAATTAAGGAACTCAAAACATGAGTTAAGAAACAATGCTTTGTTTCTAAATTGATTAAGGCATTTCCTCCACAGAATTCCATGCTTTGCTCACTGTTTGTCAAGTAGCCAGGGCTAAGTAGAAAGAAAGAAGGCTCAATCTTGTCAGCCTTTCCATGACCAGTTCCTAGCATAGGACTTAAACTAATAAATATCTAATACTGTACTAGTAAGAATCAATAATAATTAGTAGCTTTTACTAATAAATTTATAATCTACTATTCTCCAAGTACATTCATCATTTAAGATTCATTTTACTTTTAATTATGGGTCTGTGTGGGACTGTTCATGAGAGTATAGATCCCTGAGGAGGCCAGACGTGTCTGAGACGCCTGGAGCTGGAGTTCCAGGGAGCTGTGAGCCATCTAATGTCTGTCCTGGGAACTGAACTTGAGATCTCTGAGAGTAATGTATGCTCTTAACCATGGTGCCATCTCTACAACACCACAAAATATATTCCTTTGTAAAGTCTCCTCGATTTTTAATTAAAATATAATTACACAATTTCCTGGTTTCATCCCTCTCCTCTTCCCATGAGCTGGCTCCTTGCTCTCCTGTGCTCTCTCTCTCTCTCTCTCTCTCTCTCTCTCTCTCTCTCTCTCTCTCTCTCTCTCTCTCTCTCTCTCTCTCTCTCTCTCATGGTCTATATTTCTCTAATTGTTATTTTACATACACACACTCACATACATGTGTATAAATGTGTGTGGATATATATGCATATATATATATATCCCAAATAATGTTGCTTGTATGCTTATAATTTGGGAGCACATCCCTTTTTATGGGCCCATCAACAGCTCACCAATCTCGGTGAACTTGCAGAGTAGACTCAGTTTCCTCCTGTTACCAGGTCACTGTGCAACTGGAAGAAGCTGGTCCCTTTGTTTGGCAGGTAAGGAGGCTGGGGACCTACAAGCTTATGTGAGTTTTATGAATAATATGTGTGATTAAGAGTTGAATTTCATGATCAAATTTCTTCCTCAAAGTACTTAAAGACTACGAACCTCCGTGTGTCACTAAGGATTTGTTGAATGGATAGACATCCAGTCATCTTCGACTATTTCAATAATTGGTGAAAGTCTACTGCTTTCTTCTTGTTTTAATTAGAAGAACATAGCACTGACTATAAGCAAATATTTTGCTGCAAGCCATTGCCCTCTACTAGTCACCAGGATTATTTGACTGTCACAGGGATGAACAGAAAGCATTGTCACCCAGGCACAGTTCCCATTATCCCCAGAGGACATTTACACATGCTTCCTCGTGGTTTGATAAGGAGACAAGGCATGGTGGAAATTTAGTGAAAGTTGGGATAAAGGGCTCACAGTCAGTATTTGAAGCTTCCAGTAACTGGATCCTGTTCAACCAACTCTCAAATAAGTCCTTTAATATCATCCTACCCTAATCCCGAAGGTGCAGGGAAAGAATAAACCTAGCATGCAGTAAATGGCATATAATACTCTTGGCTCAATTCTTGTCACATATGCTAATTAGTCAATAAGTAACACCCCTGAATGCATGAATGCATGCTTCTTCTAGATTAATGTGAAAAGGTCCTAGAAAATTTTCAAAGACAGAAGCCGGTTTCTAATTTTAAAACATTATAAGGAAGTTTGCTTGTAAAGGCTAATTATTTCCTAGGCAATATACCCAATTCCTAAATGAACACTTACCCATAGAACCCTGGTCCTCCGTCAGTTGCCTTGTACTGTTAGGAGTGGACATTCTAAGAAAGCTTTCAACAGAAATTAACAGCAACTACAGTGATAGAGCAGCACCTCCCATTGCCAGCGGCGTTTTCTCTCTAAAGGGATGTGGTATTAATAGGCTGAATTTTTTTTAATCTAAAAAAATAAACCTCTGTCCCCACCTCTCTCCTGTTTTCGTGTCCTCTGTGTACAAGTGTATTCTGACCATTACGCTTGGGTGGAAAGTTGAAAGACAGCTAACCAGCTACACCCAGCTAGAGCTCATGGGCGGAGGAGCAAAGTTCTAGGGCTGAGCTTTCCTTTCTCAGCGCCTGGCCATGCAGGCGCTCGCGGATACCTGCCCTGGTTGGCGCTGCGTCTGAAGATTCGGCTAGGCGGAACAGTTGAGTCTCCATCTGGCTACCAACCCACCCAAGCTTTCTTCTCTTCCATCACCACCTTCCTGCCTCCCCCTCCTCCCCCTCCTTTCCGTCTTCCCTCTCCACCCCCGCCCCCAATCTCCTCCTCTTTTTCTCACTACAAGCGGTTGCTGATGCTGAAGCCGAGCGTCACTTCGGCTCCCACGGCAGACATGGCGACATTGACAGTGGTCCAGCCGCTTACTCTGGACAGAGGTAAGGGAGGTGCTGGTCCATCAGGCCACTGAGTCCGCACCCCTTCCCCCGCTCCGCCCTGCCCAGTCCCACTGGGACAGCAGGATGCGCTCGGCCAAGGGACAGTGGGCGAGGAAATCAGCCCAGGAGGCTTTCGCGCCCGGAGCAGGACACTTTGCTCGCCTGGTCCCTGCCGCCTCTTCTCATTGCGCTCGCCGGGGCGTGGATGCCTTGCCAGGGCTCCGATACTCCAGCCACCAGTCCTAGTCTCTTGCTGGGTCGCCTCCAGTCCCCGGCTTTGTTGGAGAGGATGTGCGGGAACCACCGAGCACTGGTGACTGGAGGTTGGAAAGGGGCAGAGAAAGCTCTCCCAGCCAGAGCAGCGAAGGGACCAGTGGGGAAGCCAGCTAACAACTGCTGGCCCAGGGACCTGGAGGGAGCAAGTTTGTCCCTGTGATGGAGACAGGCTCTGTGTAGCTGCGGGGACTGGGAGATCGCCCCAGGGCGGTAGTGCGTTTGGCATGGTAGCTGGGTGCGCCTCCGCTGGGCTGCCAAGCCAGGGCGAAAGGGCAGAGCGAAATTCTGTAGCCTAGCCGGCTAGGGAACGCCACATCCCGGAGGCGAGCCTGCTTGGCTCCAGATTCCCGTCCGGAGCTGCGGTTTGGGTCGCTGGGTCGTGGTGCTCCCTCAGCCTGCAGTTCCAGGGCTGTAGCAACTCCTGTCTCCTGCTCCGAACCAACCTTTTTCTTTACCAGTCAAGTGCACCTCGGTGCCTGGGCTGCAGACAGCGCAGGGACAAAGCGCAGACTGGGTAACAGTTTAACTTCTAGCCTGTGACCTGCGCGTCCTACTCTTTGGCTGCATAGGAAACAGCCAGCTTTTTGCTACCTCCTGAAACCTTCCCAAGCCTGGTTACTGGTTTCTCTCTAGGATGGGGCCTGACTAGTGCACCCCAGGGTTTCCTGGCTGCGAGTGGGAGTTTCCTTTCTCCCTTCCCCTGTCTAGGTTCTAGGGTGCCAGAGTCCCTGCTCTGCAGAGAGAGGGCACCTCTAGCCCTGTCCGCAGCGGAGGGGTTTAGGACCCAGGGCAGCCATTTGAAAATGCTGTGCTCAGAGGAAAATGATTTAGTCCTTGTTCCTCTAAAATTTCGCTTTTTGGAGGATTAAACTAGCGGGCCCAGCAAGGCAAAAAGAGCATCCTGCTGGGGAGCTCAGTGGCAAAGCTGGTAAACTCTGCTTGAGGTTCTTTATTTGGAGAGATCTCTGTTGACTTTAACTCAATCGGTTGGTGCCAGAACAGATAATATGTGGTGCCCATAGCAACCTTACTTGGGGTAAGAGAAGAAAAAATATTGATTTTTTTAATGTTGAGAAATGCTCATTTACAAGCTCGCAAATTGATAACAGTAAAGAGCTCAGAAACCCATCGTATAATCTATGGTTTTACCCCCAATATCATCCGTACTAAGCAGGATAAATCCATTGCTGGTAAGAGCCAAGCAGATGGCAAGCTATTAAAAACGATGGGTTTCCCAAGTATTTCTGTTTTCATGTGATGAGCTCTTATATTGTCCCATTACTAAATTACAGTCATCAACCATCCCAAGTTTAACTATGTTAAACATCCCAAACTCTATGTTAGAAGCAAACACTCCAAAAAGACCACTCGTCCAAGCAAGTTTATATCCCGCTACTGTTATTGCTAATACAATTATCCCACTTCGGGAAGCAGAGTTTCTTAGCCCTTAGGTGCCCCAGTCAGTTGTTCAGAGGAGGTATTAAACAGACAAAGATATAAAGTGCATTCTTGTTTCTACTCAGGTGGTATCTGACAGTACTCCAGACAGTAACCCAGGAAGCAAAACTAGGTTAACTATGTGAATATCTGAATGAATGAATACTCTTTCCTTACTGGCTTGGGCTGCTTAATGAGTGAAAAGACTATCAATAAAGTACCTTCCCTCTACTTCCCTGCGATGGTACCTTAATATAATCCAGTAGGTAATTTTATAATTCACTTGATGGAATGCAGGAGTCTAAACGTTGTCCTTGAAAAGGGCTTAATTCAGTTGTTCATTAGGAATTTGGGGTTAATGATTCAATACTGTGCACTTTTACCCTAAGTTAGGTTTCAGTGTTTGTCCACCAGCTGGAGACTAGATCACACTAAGCTTCAGAGTGCCATTTGGAACACTCCAGCTTTGCCCTCCCAGTCTTTGGTTACTCCAAAGCCTTTATAACTTTTGTCTCCCCAATAGGTGGAGCTCCTTGAGAGATGAGGCCATTTCTGAATCTATCTTTGAATTTATCACAGTCACTGACTTGTGGTGGAAATCTAAAATTACTGTAGATTAGTGTTAGTGAAGTAAAGTCTCAAGTAAGCCAAGAACTATTGATTCTAGGGATGCCATACCAAACCGAGATATGGTTGGTGTGAAATGCAGTCACAGCCCTGCAGAGATATCAAGGTTGGTAGAGCACACATAGGGAAGTTGTTAGGAACCTTTTCCCTGTTCACTTGGTGGATTTCTGTCAGCCTCAGCTGCTTAACAAGGTTTTGCCTTTTAAATATCTATGTATTTATTTTCAAGACTGGGTTTCTCTGAGTAGTCCTGGTTGTCCTGGACCTTGTAGACCAGGCTGGCCTTAAACTTGGAGATCTGCCTGCTTTTGCCTCCTCAATGCTGGAATTAAAAGTGTGTACTGCCAGGCACCAAGCAGGATGTCAGCTGGTGGGCAACACAGAAGAAGGAAATAAGACTCTAGTCAGGGACAACCAATTATATCTCAGCAAATCAGAAGACACATACTATGACTTTAGGGGTCCTAGTTCATTTCTAGTGTTTTCACATATGCAAATATAAAACACAAAAGAAATGAAGATAGATGTTTTTGAGGCTATACTACTTCTAAATGTGAGATTTAATTTTACTTAGTGTTCTTTGGCAGCATACATAAACATAAATATATACATGCATACATCCATAATGCCTGCATGTATACACATAAACACACACTCACACACAAACACACACACACACACACACACACACACACACACACCAGTTTTTAAGGAAACAAATCAAAGCTACAAGATTTAAATTAAGGTTTAGTCACCTCAAATTCAAATGCAATAACTGGAAGTAAGACTCTTAGAAGTCATACTCATCTTGGTTTTTGTCTTTAAGATCCAGGCTAGTCAAAGGAATACATTATCTTCTAACTGCATCAAGACATTGGACTAATCAGCATTGCAGACCTTGGAGGTGACTATGGATAGAGTATATTCCTATTTACTGTTTCTTGTTAGTCTTCATTTATTTATAGGCCATCCTGTAAGTAACACTTTATGTGGGCTCAGGTATATGGAGAAGCTAGAAAAATGACAATTCTAATTTCTGCCATAAGTAGGGGCCACTAGGGGAAGATTTTTTTTCTTAAGCCCCACAAACAATTCATTCAATATACATTTATCACCTGTTGCATATGAGATACTATGGGAGGAGAAGAAAGGTTTTCGACATCTATGAATCTTCAGAGTCTACTAGAGGTGACAAATGATAAGGGATTGATTTACTAAAGGTTATCGAGTGTCAGCATTGTCCCAAACACCACTCTAAGCACTATGGTAGTGCCAGTTGAGCAAAACAGGAAAAAAATCTAATGGTGTTTGCATGCTAGTAAGAGAGATACAATGAATTCACATAGACAGGTATGAGGCTGATGAAGTAAAAATAAAACTGAAAAAATGACAAGGGGCCACTGTGTTAGATACATCAGTCAAGGAAATACCCCTTGAGATCACGACATTTGAGAAAGGAACTGAAAAGAGGAGGGAAACGAGCTTTGTCAATAATTGGGGGTAAAGAGATTCTTTGGAAGAGGAAGTACATGTTCCCTGGCACATCACAACAGCTACTGTGAAAAACCAAGCAGACAAGGAAGGAGCCTGATTGAAGGGACATTTGAAGATGGTAGCCAGGGCATCAGTCGAAGTGACCCATAATAATGATGTTAGAGAATATGACAATGTGACAATGTAAAATGCTCTGAAAAATAAACAATCAGAAGAGATGCTCTGGGGGTAAGAGCTACTTGGCTGGTATTGATCAAGGAAGGCTCACTGAGAAAGGAAAAATTTCAGTTGGTCTTCATGTCTTGTGTTAATATGGTGTTTAGTAAAAGGAATCATAATGAAGGAAGTGTATATAACTTCAGTTCCAGATTTGCTACTTGGTTACCATCTAGTTGATATACTGAGAGAGTAAAACCTAACTAAACAAATATTTTTAAAAAGTAAAAAATGAAAACTAGCAATTATACCACAAGGCTACATCTTTGGTTAGAAATATGGTTATATAGGCTGACTAAATCTGCAGATCAGCTTTACACTAGGTTTTATGGTCAGGGTAAAATATCACATATAATAATGTGAGTTTTGGAGGTTAGACAGCAAGAGGGACAGCAGTACATATAATTTACCTTGTGGCAAAATGGCGATCCTGACAAGGAGAAATCATGGAATTTATCTCTTCCTGGCTCTTAAATGTTCCCAGACCCTCTTCCTATTTTCAGAGATTTGCTTGACCAGATTTTAATCTCTAAAATTGGGAATGGCCTACAGCTTAACTCAGGGCAACAAAACAGAGTGTAGCCTGCGGTACTCGATACTGCCATCTTTATAGAAAATAGAAATTCTTTGCTTCAAGGTCAGAAAGAATAATATGAAAAAAATCCTTTAAATTTTCCCCTTTGTTTAACCTTTTCCACTTAAATGAAAACCAAATGGCTTTAAAGAAAATTATGACCTTTAATGTGATAATATAAAACCCACTGTAGAAAAAAATGAACAATTAAATTTTTCTATGGGTCTAGAGAGATAACTCTTGATCCCAGGACTCAAAGTGGCTCCTGGAAGCATGTCAGTGTCTCACAAACACCTGTAACCGCAGCTCCAGGAGATCTAGGACATCTGGCTTTCTTAGGCACTTGGACTCACATGGACACATTCCCCATAGCAAA